CCCAGCCTCCGCCTGTGCCATAACCAAGCCAAAGGGCCTCCACCAGAGCCAGGAGGAAGAGGCCCCCGATGTGGTGACACCTCCTCTGTCACACTGGACCCATCGTGAGCCATAGTCACTGGACTGACTCTGTCCTCAAGATGAAAACTACTGACAGGCCCCCGGTGCAGCTCCCAATACCCAGGCCAGAGAGTCGGAGGCTGCCTAAGGTTGTCCAAGGGGGTGTTCACAGGACCTGGCATGCTCAGACCCAAGAGCAGAAGGAACTAGAAGGAAGGTCCCCAGGATGGCTTTCTTTCATGAATCGTTGCGAAACCTCTGTCCTCAGCCATGGCCATTCCATGCACTAGCAGGAAATTCAGCCCTAAGAAACAAAGATGGACACAGTGCTAGGCAGCCAGATCACACTGTGCTGGGACTGCCCTGGGAGCACAATGGAATCCTCAACAGAAGAGGGGACTGGTCCTGGGCCAAGGAGGTGTTGGAAGGATACAGAGCAGATAACCACTTTTCAGCCACATTACCATCCTGGCCTGGAAGGACCCCCACAAGATCACAGAGGGAGCAACACTTGAATGTAGAACAGGGAGGGAGCCCCATGATGCCACATCAGCCAGGCCCCACTCTGCCCCCACTGACCATGGGTTGGAGACCTAGAAGTGAAGGTCTTGGCTGTCCTTGGCTTTCAGAGCCAGGTTAGCTCTGCCTTCTCCCCTGTGGCCCATTCTAGAAGTTGAGACTGGTTCCAGAAAACCTCTCCTGACCCCTGCCTATTGGCAGGCCCCCTCCCCAACCTCTGCCCACTTCCATGGTACTGTAGCAGGGGAGGTCCCTCCCCCTCCTCATGCCTTCTCTGTATATAGGCTTCTCACGGCAGCCAGTAAAGAGCTCCCAGTTTGTACACACTGCATCTGCCTCCATCCACCCCCATGCCTCACCAACGCCATTCGGTCTGACGGATCATGCTACCTAGCTGACCCCCAGGTGGACAAAGCCAGGTGCAGGGCTCATAGCGGTTGGGAGGGTGAAGCTCTATGGCGGAGATACCTGCTCCTGTTCTCAGGGGTGTCCCAGTCTAAGGGATGGTCACGGTCACATAACTGAGATCCAGAACGTGAGATGAACGAAAAAGACCTGAGTAGACTGGATGGAATCCAAAATGGCTTCTCGGTGGAGAGTGCGCCGGGCCTGGGGAAGAGGTGGTGGAGCGCAGGGTCTGGAAGAAGCAGGAAGCTTCTGTGCTGTAGGAGCAGGTAGTCCCGGGTAATGGCGGAGTGAGGCTGGGTGCACAGGTGGAGAGCCGAGAGCCCTCGTCTGGTGGCTAAATTCAGACAAGAACCTGCTTCACTGCCTCAGTTTCCCCACACCCAGCCCTAGGCCCCATGATGAGTCGAGCAAAAGGTGGACCAGTGACCCAAGCCCGGAAAATCTGAAAGGTCACAGTATCCATGTCCTAGCCTCTGGGCAGGAGTACCTGGAGCCCTAGTCTGCGGCAGCTCCTCCAGATGTGCTGCTGTCCTGAGTCCACAGCCACAGCACTGTGTCAAGCTCTCCGCTGCCTCCTCTGCGCTAAGGTTGTCCTAAATTGTGGCACAGGTCCTTCTGTTAATTGTCCCTAAGGCGGTGACCTTTGGCAAGAAAGAAGGCCAGAAATTAGCACCCAGAGAAGCCTAGGGGCAGATCTTCAATTCAGCTACTCAGAGCCCTCAGACCCAGCCGCTGTCTCGGGCTCCTCCTGACGTGTCTGCCTTCCCGTGCCAGCTGTCTGCCCTCCCCACTCTCTACCAGAGCCCACCCCCTCACTTTCTGTGCTGGGACGTGTCACTGATTGACAGTGAAATGTCCAGTTCCTCCAGGAAAACCCCAGCCCCTACCCAGGGCTCTCAGAACCAGTAACCGGAGACCTCAGTTTGTTTTCCAGAATCTGGGTTATTCACTGGGCCAGGAATAATACACGTGTGCGCTGCCAAAGCCCAGCTCAGGTTGAGCAGAGTTCCGTGCAGCTCGGTCCAGTCCTTTGCAACCACTTCCTGCTG